ATTTAGTTATTTCTAATTTAAAATTCCTAACAAAAAAAACATAAGAATTCTTAATATTATTTTTATAGAAGTAAAATTCTGAATGTACCCGTTATGTTAGAACGAGATAGCACTAGTATTATTAACTGACTTCAGGCAAACGATAAGTTTCTAGATTAATTTTTTGTGCAAATTTTCAAGATGACTGTACAAAGCCGCACCTTAGTCGTTAAGACGCCGCATTTTTGTATTAACGCTTTGATGACTTCCGCCGTATGTACCACGTATGTTAAGTTTATATTTTATAGTGATTTATTGCCCAAATAATATATAAATTACTAGCAAACCCGGTCACACGTTGCTATAGCAAAGGTTCTTGAATAAAATAATATTGCGACTATAAATTGAGATGTAAGCAATCCTATCTTTCAAGTTGAATCGAATTACACACTATATGTAAATCAGTATTGCAATCAGTTCAGTAGTTTAGAGATCCATAGCGGATAAACAACATGACAAGTAATTTTTATATATAAAGATTTTAAGTAGCGTACATACATTGTGTATATTACAAAAATATTAAATAATTTAAAATGCTCGTTTAGGTTAGACAATTGTTTTGTATTAACATTATTAATAAGATTATAAGTAAAAAAGAAAATCAATTTATATTACCAATAAATGATTCGGAAGATAAAGAAATTAAAAAGCAGCAACAAGGGTAGATACCTAAAATAGTAATAAATAACAGGAGTTCCTATGCGGCGAAATCAACTTAAATTTATGACATATTAGGTATATCATAAATTTTAGTTGGTGTTACCGTATATAGCGCCTTATATCCAACATATGTTATAGTATTCTATGTCTTACTTTCCAAATACTAAGTGCATGTTAAATTTCATCAAGATCTCATAATAATATATAGATTTTTTGTAAATACATACATAACATCCAAACCCTTAAGAATGATCATACTCATGAAAAATTGTTTGTACCGTTATAAGAATCGAACCCACGACCATCGGAAGTAGAGCGGTAAACTAAACCGCTACACCAAAGAGGCCATCAGATAAAATTAAATAATGTATATAATTTTAGTCGCAAGTCTACATCAAGTTTGTTATTGCTACGACATCGCTACGAATGCTACGAAACTACGTAGACCGTAGTCTGCGAGTAATTCATCGCGTCTTTTATTTTACTATTAATGGGGTACCATTGCGTATCATCGGTGCTTCGTTTTAAGAGAACAAAACTGAGGTGAAACTATTGCCACAGTGGCCAGGTGGTTTGGTATAGACTTTAACTTCTCTGTCACCGTTGTGTATGCGGTTTATTACCCTTGGACGGTTGTTTATCATTTAAATGAAAAGAACATACTCCTGTATGTTACGATAAATTACTCTGTTTTTAAAAGGATAAACATAAACAGGTATAATAATACCTGCAAATATTTATTCACATACCGCCCGGACGTACAAATATCTAAGATTTCAAAATATAATTTAAATATTAATTATTTTTAGTTGGTGGCAAATATTAATATTTTATTTGAGATGAATAAAAGCAAAAAATGCATTTAATCTTGATTGGCATCTTTCTAATCAAATTGCAAACATACATATATAGCTATCGCGTGAGATTAACTTACATAAAGTAAACCATAGTTTATTGCTTTACATAATGGCCACTCGCTACAATGACCGTTCTTGTTTAAATATTATTCATTTATTCAGTGCTTATCGATAACCGCGCTGACAGCTTGTTTTTATAGCACATCTATTAGGCACGAAGCAAATTGCGCAATAAAAATGAGGAGTTGTCGACTTTAAGTAGACAATCTGAATACTTAAATGTAAGTAAGCTAAAAAAACATATTTCACACTTGACTTTTTAATTGACAAATTTTAGGTGACAACAAAAATGGGATCAAAACGTCTTTTTAATAGTCTTACTATATTAGTAATAATAATAATATAAACACGAAAGTTTGTGAGTATGGATGGATGGTTGTTACTTTTACACGTAAAAACTACTGAAGGGGTCTTCATATAACTTTATAGTAATATCGTATACATAGGCTGTTTCTTAGAAAGATACTATGTAAATTGGGCAAAACATAATAATAAATATCAAGTAAGTGTGATGCAGACGAGGTACGGGTCAGCTAATAAAAAAGAATTACCAATTCTATTATGTTATACTTGTCATTTAATAAGTAATAGTTTTAGATATATATATTTTAGTATAGTAATATATTTACTCCAAACATGCTGAAAAATATTGTCATAAAAACCTTATGACGAGTGAGTGGCAAATAAAAATATTTCTTTCTCTCAGAAATTTCTGCAGCGCTCTGCAATGCGGACTTCAAGATTACAATGAAATTTGTCGCTGTAATATTATTCTAGAATTACAACAATAAGCCTATATGTTATCTGTCTGCTATAGGAATTAATCACACTATCATGTTATATATAGGATGATCTGATTATTGAATCTTAGATTGGGTAGTTAGAGACATTGTCAACTGTTGATATCCTGTTTACCTAAATACTTGATTTTGTTCTCATTTCATTGGATATTTCAATCCAACGTGTCAGGTGAAGAGCCCATGCCTGGCTCTCGAATTACTTTTACTGTTTACATAATTACATTTTTTTTTAAATAAAATAATTTGAACTGCCGACCTTTATTTCCAAATCGGAGTAGTTAACAGCTAGACTACGACGCTCTCAATCCAAAGGTAATAAAGTAAATGGAAAACTGTAAAAGCTAATAGGAATAATTTGCAGGCATTCGCGCTTATAATTTATCGCCTACCTAAAACTGGCCACTGAAAGGTTATGGGAGCGTTAATCCATTGTAATAGTTCGCTCGCCTTGTGCGCATATTAAGTGCAAGGCGGTGCATTGCCCCCGCAGTGTCGTCGCTGGCTAGTCTGTAATGCACTCTAGTATTACCTGACACATCGGATATTATATGTTACAATATATATTAAATATTGAATATAGTCTATACTGAAAAGAAGTAAACTTCAGTTTGTGTATGTATTAATTTAAACACACTATGTATTTTTTTTATCACGTATTGATAAGAGAAGAGAAATTTGAAAGGAGAGATATTAGTTTTCTGACCAACTGATGGTAGATTTGGCTTATCATAAGTGTCTGCAATACACCGATGAATAAGTATAATCAGATTAGTTTTTAGTTTTACTTCAAGAATATTGATTCTGATGAAATGTTTTCCATCGTTTAAATAGATAGCAATTACAAAAAAGTTTTAAGAAAACTAACAAAAGCCTTATATTGATTAATCACGCATAGCCTAAACCAATAAAATTGTAAAAAAAATCTGCAATTTAAAATTTTTATTGTTGTATTTAAAATAAATATTTATTTATTCACTATGTAAAAAAATGTAAAATAGAACTTACCTACAGACTTCAGTTAATGCGTGCTAACAATAGTGCAAACGAACCTCTTATGTTGTTTGGGTGGAATCTTAATATACTATAATTGCTTTTCTAATTTCCTCGTCCAAAATTACAGTATTTAGTTTGAGCGTTATTTTCTTACAATTAGCCTTATCGATATAAGGAAAACAAAATGTGTTTTCAGTGTAATCAAAATGCAAATATTCGAGACGGTGCGTGGGTGCTTGGTGGCCGGTGGCCGGTGGCGGGTTGGCTGCTTATCCTGCGACCCACATCTGGACAAGGCCGCGACCTCGTCTCTACGTACATTTGGTACGATCGTGACGACACATTAGCGATGTTTTATTATACGTTCAAATAGGTTATTTAGTTATGCAGAAAAGAAACGGTAGTCTGAATATCTGAAGTGCTAGAATTTTCATTTATGAAGACATGCTTATATTGAATATATATATATTATATATATTGAAATACATAGAAAACTAAACTAGAAATTCAAGTACATTGAATTCCTTTGAAAGTGGAACACAGCTTGCATAGTAAACTGCATGCAGAATTACCAAAACACTACTTAAGCGCCGCTTTTACCGCTTTACAGCCGATGGTCGCGGATTCGATTCCTCGCACGGGACAAACATTTGTATTCATGAGTATGATTATTTGTATCGGTCTGGGTGTTTTCTATGTATAATATGTATGTATTTACAAAAAAAATATATATGCATGTATATGTATCAGTTATTTAGTATCCATAACACAAGCTTTAGCTAGCTTAACTTGGGTCTAGGTGGCGCTGTGTGAATTGTCCTGAGAGTATTATTATTATTATTAAACCTTTAGGTTAGCCTATTGTTTTAATATTAACATATGTTTATACAGCTATATTTAATACATATTATATGAAGAAATTATACAAAATAACTTCTATCTCACCTAATTCTGCCACTAAGCCACATGCCAGTTGATTTCGAGTATCAAGGGCCAGGTATGACAATGTCTAGATAATGTGCCATTACAGTCATATCAAAAGAATGTAATAACTAACGTGTATCTTAGAATATATATTTTTTATTATCTATTAACTAGATGTCCCGGCAATCGTTGTTTTGCCTTAAAATAAAAAAAATTAGGGGTGGACTACCCCTAACATTTAGGGGGATGAAAAATAGATGTTGGCCGATTCTCAGACCTACTCAATACGCTCACAAAATTTCATGAGAATCGGTCAAGCCGTTTCGGAGGAGTAAGGGACGAAAACTGTGACACGAGAATTTTATAAATAAGATTTCATTATATTACAAACAATACATATTCATATTTCTATGCACAATCGGAAGTGAGAAAAATTGCTATAATTTATGTTCCGAGCTTGCGAACTACTTTTTCTGTTATGGTCTCTATGATTAATGATGTTTGAATAATTGTGTTTATATAATGATGAAGAACAATTTGTGATATATGGATATTTATATTAAAAATATATTTAATGGCAATATCAATAAAAATACGTTTAAAAAAAGTGTGCTCATAGGAAATTGATAAGTTAAAATTCAAGTATATCTACCATCTATTTAGCTACCTTAAAAGTTTTGTATGATGACACGACGTACGAGGCCCCGTCTTCAAGTTCCTCGAGCCTATACTTCCTATCACCATCCATCCCGAATATGAACCTGGCACCTCTGGGCAGCTCCAACCTTTCCGACAGTCTATCCAATAACGCATCCATTGATGCCAAGTCTCTACCAGGTTTGAAACGGAATTCCACTCCTGGATGAAATGGATCCCCATTCCTGTAGAAGGTGACACGTCTCGCCTTCCAGTAATTAAGGTTAGCGTATCGACTAGCCGGTTCTGTTCTGTTGGGACGAACCGTCGCCTCTGAGCCCTCAGATATATCATCAGGTCTTTGAGGGGGGGAGGCCGGACGGGACGGCCTCCAGTCGCCTGGTTCTCGCTCCTCGTCTGATGGCGGTTGTGGGTCTGGCTCGGGAGCAGGGGCAGGTTCAGGAGCTGGCGCTGGTTCGACTGCGGCCTGTGGACGATTTCGCGAATGTAGGCGCGGCCGGGGTTGCAAGCGGCGCGACATCCCTCGTTAATACCCGCCCGCCGACTGGTCGCCGCGCTCCCCTCTCACCTTAGCGTCTTATTTCAATCAACTGATACAGGCTCATCCATACAACTATAGATACGTGCAGCCGGCTTCATTCATGAAACTTACGATTCATGCCCACGTGTGATTGATTGATAGTGGACGGGGAAGATTATTAGTGATGTATATTTGCTTATTTATTTTTTGTTATTTAGGTATTTGAACATTTATTTAATATGTTAACTATTGTAACGTGATACAAGCGATTATATGAAATATTATATTAATTTAAAAAAGGACATTGAAGAGTTAGTTATCGTATCTATTTATAAATTTATCTAATCGACGGAAAAATATGCACATCTATAATTAGTTTGGATTGTTACTGTTTATTTAAAGAAATAAAATATAAGATATTTTTAATTGATAATTTCTATTAATTACCATCTGTCCATGTGTATAATTATATTGTTAACGAATAATTTTGTCAACAATAAAATCGAGCTAATTTAACAACCTTATTTTTTACATTATAATCATTCAAACGACTTAGCATACTTATTTGCATACGACAGTTAATTATTCCAAGGTTGAAAATTTACTAAAAAGGCAATATTAAAAAAGTTTTTACTGAAATAAACGTACATTAATAAATATATATATATATATATATATATATATATATATAACAGACCATTAGTATGTCCAATGCCTGTGGTCTGTACATGTATAATAGATTAAAAACTTGCGAAATTAGGAACTAAGAGTCTTTATATAACAAAGAATACAACAGATCAAAAAAATATGCAGTTGGCAATACCTGAAAGCTGCGATAAACAAATGGCTTATCCATTAACGAGGTTGCAGTTATCGTAGCGCGGCGAAGAGGGCGGGCGGTCGGTTCGATGTTCTTCAGATAAAACGTACAAGTGCCTCGACCCTTGGTCCGTGACTAAATAATACTAGTCACGATTTTACTTCATCACTTTACAAAGTTTTATGAATCAGGGATTTGTCATAGGAAATTATGAAACATAAGCACAGGGAGAGCTATGAAATTATCGTATTCACTGCGGCTTCTGAGTCATAATTACGGCAAGTTCTAATAAATTATGTGTAGTGGTATTATTATCGTTATGGATTCACTAATTTTGGTTTATTGTTTAATATGTACCTACAAAATAAAATACAAATTCTCAAACTCTTTCTTATTCTTATATATATATCTATTCTTATAGAATAAGCTACTCAGAATACTGCTTATATATTTTTTGTATCTATATTGTTTTTAATCATCTTGCATATTTTATTTACTGTCGTTTTTCTTCTTGAAGATCCTAAATTCTATTCATTAATTATGAATAAATTTTTTAACAATATTATACAATATAAAGTATGTTTTAGTAGTAAACGTATTATACCATAATCGAATTATTTATATATCTATGTATAGTGCACTATTGTATAACATAAAAACCTTACCACAGCCACTGCAGCCATCGTTGCTTCTTTGTTTTCGAATGTCAGCTCACTCAATAATCACTTTTATTTACGAAAATTTGCCAGATTGTTAACTTATAAAAAAATATTAGTCCTCTATAACCGAGTTACAAGAATAATATAATCGAGTCATGATGGATATCGCGAGACGCGGGAAAAGGGGCAAGGTGGCGCCAAACGTAGAATCTCCAACGCTGTATGGCACAGTATACGTTTCCGGTCTCTTTTATACCTGTCCAATGATAGGTAGACAGTTTATAAACAATCGGAAATATAGGTAAAGAGGATGAGTAAGGAATTATACAGGATGGGTGTAAAACGTTTTTGTTGTCGTGGAAGCGTTTCGCCGCTCGTCCGGTTATGTTTTGTGAACGGAACCGAGTGACGGCTCAGCGGCAACGTGGCGGGGCGGCGTCCAGCGCACCTGGATGCGTCACGACGGTACTACCACGTTTTTCATTTAATTAAACTTGTATTTTATGGATCAATATAGTATTCTGTTGATAATAATTAATTGTTAATAATTACTTATTGCAATAACGGCTGGCTCATTCATCATATTCGTAAACAGGTTGCTTGTGGGGAGTGGTGTGTTCGGGTTACGTACACTGATTAGATTATTTTCTTCTGACAAAATTAGAATAGCATATGCTGGTGGTCACTCTATGCTCCAAAATTTAAATTTAAAAATGAATCTGTATTTTATTAAAACATCTAAAGGCTTATTAGAAAAGAATAAGAGCTGAGCTTTTTGTCAGTCCTTCTTAGGTTGAAAGCACACTAAACTGACGGTAGATTTAACATATATATTCTAAAAGTCTGTAATAGACTTATGGATAAAGATATTTAGATATTTTTTGTTGATTGATTAAACCGTAAGTTTTACTAGATCAAACATAGTTGAATTAAAACTTGTCTCGTAGATATGCTACGCCGTAGCCGTAGCACCTAAAATATACTGTTACCAATCTTTATTCATATATTCTTCATTATCAATATTACATTAGTGTTAATATAAGACATCTGCAGTATGTGATTGTATTATTTTCAGTTTATAGTTATACAGTAGTTATCTTTTATATGTAATATAATATGTATGTAGAATAGCGATAAGTATGATTATAAATATTTGATCAGAAAACAATACCATTTCTGCACTTTTATATTCTAACACTGAACATATTTTATGTTCTTTAGCCTGGACAATTAATACAGCGCCATCTAGTTCCATGCTAAGTACAGCTTGGAAAATAAACAACTAGATTAAAACGCTGATTTTTTTTGTAAATACATACATAGTACACATAGAAAAAAAATCAGCTTATACAAACAATCATACAAATGTTTGCACCGTGCGAGGAATCGACCCCGCGACCATGGGACGTAAAGTGTGCTAAACCGCTAGACCACCGAGGCTGTCAAAAGAGTATAAGACCCGAGTAGTATATTACTCCTCTCTCACCAGTATGCATCTAAAACTCTATCTAGGATAATTCGAAATGAAACTCTATAATAACAAGTCACTTGAAAAACAAGTAATGGTAGTTGATATTATTTTCTTATATGGCAATAATTAACTATTACGGTATAATGATTTAAGTTTTTGTATTTTATGTTGGGCTAAAAAGGACTTGTATCCAGAGCCGTAAAATATTAAATAAAAAAACGGTATGATGCCTGTTATTTATGTCAACTAAATTAGATGTAATAAAAATATATAAACCTATTATAAAAAAAATGAACTGAAAAGAATATTAATTTAAACCTCTTCAAGTAATATTAAATCAAAATGGGTAGAAGATAAATGAAATCAGGATAAATAATTCTAGTCCGCTATGACTACATAGTTATCAAATGAAAACAGTCAGTAGTCGTAGTTCTACTAATATTTCTACTAGTCGTAATATTTCTTCTATAGTCGTGCTACCTTCCCGCACTTATTCCTTCGGCCACTGGCTACAGCCAACAGAAAGCCTGGCGTATCTATGTAGGTTACTATTATATTTTTTCAACATGCTATTTAGCGAATGTTCGACTCTATTTATGAGGCTTTATCATCTACTATCTAATATACAAATATTATGAAATTCAATAAATATATCAATTCAATAAGAAGTATTGAATACACTACTATAAATATATTTTATTTGTAACTTTTTCGCATAGACGTCATAATTGATAAATAAATCCGATAAATAGTATACTAAAAATGTAGTTGCGTTTGATTTTAAAACTTAAATATTTTTAGTCGGTTAAAATTTATAGTGTTAGGCTCAAGTAAGAATGAGAATTAGTACAAACTACAAAATATGTACGACAAATAAAATACACGAACCAAAATATCGAAAGTATTTGAACACAAATATGGCCCTCAACCTTCGTTATCGGGTATGATCGAAAATCACGTTTCATTCATACGGTAGGCCTCAGTATTTATATAAGACCTAAAATACTATAAGGTGCCTACCAAAATAAAACTATTGTATTACTACATTAAAATGTAAATAATTTTTAATTACAGAAACTCCCTCTCTCTTCTTAACTCTCTATAAATTAATTTGAATATTTCGAATTTAAACCCTACATTTTTATTAATTTTAGAGATTCTTTTCAAAAATTACCTGTATTAATATTATGGTATATGAACAGGTAACGTTGGATATTCGAGGTAATTGTCCGGTACTACGGATATGATTTTGAAAAATCTTTTAGGGTTGAATATATCATTTATTAAGGAAAATTATGTGCTATATATGTAATATTACATGTTGCAAGAATAGGATACTGATAAAGTTACGCTGGTGAACTAGTATATGTATGAATACTACTACAGCTAATATATATTACATCAAATAATTATACATTTTTTCATGTACTACGATGAAGGCAAACAAACATACGACCCATCTCATGGAGAACCATTACCATAATCATTAATCTAATAAATCAGTATATCTAATAATATATCTGTCTATAGTGAGCGCTAAAATGGTCTATCGACGTCTAAATGCATCTATTATAAAATTATAGTAGTCGGGGCGAGTAGCTAGTAAGCTACTCTACCCAGCTTCGCACGGGTGTACATGTATTGTATATATAAACCTTCTTCTTGAATCACTCTATCTATTAAAAAACCGCTTCAAAATCCGTTGCGTAATTTTAAAGATTTAAGCATACATAGGCACGGACAGATAGAGACAGCGACTTTGTTTTATACTATGTAGTGATTTCTTACCTATATTGACAATAGATTTAGTATTCTAAATCTACTGTAAATATATGTACACTAAAGTTGCAGCCTAATTAAATTCTTATTATTTAATTACTTATAACAACTTGACATTCAAGGAAATTTGATCAGCGGTCAGTTTTCTACTTAAAGCGTTATCGTATTGGTCTTTACATTGCGGTCAGTAATTACACGGCTATTTTGCACTATTAACCGTAAACATTTCAGAATGGTATAATGAACGTTCTGACATTTTCTGCCTTAGAAA